AATTACCTTTAATCGACTAATTTGCTTGCCAACTAATCATAAAAATTCCCCATCGAATCAAATGTTGATCTTAACAACATTGAATATTGTAAGATCGTTTCAGTCGGGCATTACCAACTGCAGAATACTTATTTACGTCCTTTTTCTTAATTGCCACACCCTCAATTGGTATATAGAGAAGCGTATAAGCGTTTTATTTCGTGAAAAAAAATATGAAAGTATAGTTAAGAAAATTAATGTTAAGCACTTTAGATCATTGTTGGAGTTCATTTTAAATCATTTTTTCGGACTATTCGTATGTTCTTTCCATATCGATGTTCATATCGATTGAGTAGTGAAACCATTTGTCTGAATTCATATCTGGGGAAAACTTTCACGGAAGGGGGAAAGCAATACGGTGGTAGGGAAGCAGTAAAAGATCTGAACTATCTTATTCCCTGTATCATTTGATGAAGCATCGGCTATATCAACATATTTACTACAAACGAGTGAGTAATTCACGATTAAATTATATTTTTACTAATACATCTAATACATTTTAAATTTTAAAATGAATTACTTTTAGTTCAACTACATCAACTTTAGAGTCAGAGAAAAAGTACGATATTTAGAGACATAGAATTATAAAGGTTTTTAAAATAAAAGCTAAGAAAGAAATTCTAAAACGGATTTAGAGAAAGTCTTTCTTTTCACGTTCAAATAACAATCTTAATCTGTTTACGGTTTCGTAATGAATTCACACCTTTTATTTGATTCGGATTTCTGACATCGACAATTGTGAGCAGCAGCTGTATTGATATGCCTTCAACGTAAATTATTAAAACAAGTTTAGATTGGCATTACCTATGGCAAAAACTCAATGAACCATGCCTATCAACCATTCATTCTGCCATATTATTCATTTTGGGAATATTATTGCTGCTGTCGTAAAGCCTCACAATTTATTTTGAGCTAACTGACCATACTTTGGTGCTTACTATTGGAACTCGCCAATAGTAAGTAGATCATTGATTGTTAGCATATGTTAGCATGTTACATATGCACATATTCAGTTTTTAACTCTTTAGTTTTAATATGGGTAGATTGAGTGAGTTCAAAACGCAAATACTCCCATCTCTCTGTGATCAATTTGTATGCATCTGTTCGATCGATGGCGATCGAGGGAGCCGCACATAACTTTCATTGAAAAATGTTTGGAGAAACGTGAGTACGCACGCCTCGTTGACAGTTCTCATGGCACTCGGCGAGTACCAGATTGAAGTTTCAGCTGAGGTTTGATGGCAGTTTCAATTTCAATTTCTGTTTCTGCTGAGCGTATTGAGTTTCAAGTGCGCATTTATGCTTTGGCTTAGCACCAAAATTCATACACGTCAACACACCTATACCTATATATATATATATGTATATGTATATATATATATACACATTTCACTTTCGTTATGTTGGCCAAAAGCGCGCTTCAATTTGGCAATAATTTAGATATTTTAATAAGCCCATTTGCTGCTTTCTTTTGGCCCTAAATGCAAATCGAAATTGAAATGCAGCAAACGCCCCACAGCTTGTTGTTGTTGTTGTTTAATTGTTTGTATTTTGTGAAACAATGAGCGGCTGTAAAAATCTCTCAGCGCCATAAATCTGCGCCTGGTCACGTACAGAAAAAAGTTCGTTTTCATTTTCACTTTCGTTCGAATTCAAAGTTTGTCTTAACTTTGGTATTTTCCCCCTTTCTTTTCGAACTCCTCCCTTCACACAGAAATATGCATTGTATTTCCTTATTATTTATTTATTATTTTTTCAAAATTCAAACATATCTTCCCTCCTATATCTCCTCATCCTCATTTGGTTATAGTTAATTTTAGAGTGTTTTTTTTACATTTGCTAAATATTCAGAATTTGATATATTTTTTTCTACAGATTACTTCACAACACAATATTTTCCCAAATCGAGTTGGGGATTCTCGAGAGATGGGATAATGTGAGATAGCTTCCCATATATTTTTAGCCCACAATTTTCGAATTATCATAAGTATAAAAACGAAAAAAAATTGATCGATTATTCTCGATAAAAAGAAATCGCATGAGTTATCGAAAAAATATGATAGACTCTAGCTATGTATGGTATAACCGAGTATTTCAGCTCTCTATCTCATATCTTCTGAGATCTCGGCGTTCATACGGACGGGCAGACGGACAGGGCTAAATCGACTCAGCTCGTCGCCATGATCAAGAAAATATATATTCTATTCCGCCTGTTACATACTTTTAACAAACCCATTATACCCTGATTTCCTATTGAAAATGGGTTCAGGGTATAAAAACGGCAGCTGGGCAAACCTAAGTAGCTTGATCGAATATTGGCGTTGTTAACCTTGAGCTGTAAATCAATATTATAATCATTATGAAAAACAAACTACGAAGATGCAGGGTAAAAAAAATTGCTGGCAAAACAATAGATTGCATAAGTTTTCAAGAAACCAAAAAGCAATCGCCAAAAGCCCGATCGCAAGCATTTATACATGCTTTATAATAATATATCTACATCTATATATAGATATTTTATGATAATGTCTCCGCGGATGAGTGTTTGTGTATGTGTATAGATGTTTTATAATAGTTATAGAGCGACTAACGTACTAATTATGCGCATCGACAAAAACTCAAATATACTTAGCCCAAATTGTCGGTCAGGTAGGGGGGATAGGCGAGGGTGAGGGGTGCTAAGCAGAGCTTTTTCAAGCTTGCTTGTTTTGTGTGTGGAGTTTTTTTCTCGGTCGAAAACGAGTTGAGCGCCCATTAAAACATAATTAAGATAATTTACGTTTATATTTTTTGGCATGTATTTTTTTCGCTCTCTCTCTCTCTCCCTCTCTCTGTCTCTCTTTTGTCCAATATTTGTAGCTGTACGTTTTTAGGGTGCTTAGTCACATTTAGTTGAGCTTTGACGAAATATTAAATATAAATAAAATTAAACACAGGAAAAATGAAAGCTGGCCTAATGACTAAACGCCACGCCCATATCGATAACTAGCTCAGTTTAGTTTTTAGATAGCAATATATTTATTTTAACCTCCAATTTAACATCGAGCAAATTGATTTCGCAAATGAAGTTCAAATGCGTTAGCAGAATTGACGCGAACCAGCGAGACGAGCTCAAAAATTTACCAAGTCATCACACACACAGACTTCAATATATATAAATATTGGTGAATGAGTTGAACATTTTGTTGGCAATGCGTGATTAATGTAATATCAATAACACTGCAATTTGGGTCTGCCTATTGTTACGGCCGCGGCTGTTGCTCAATGGGCTTTCAAATAGGAAATGGGTCAACCCTGATGGACAGCGAATGCGCTTCAGGGCCATTGTTGGCACAGCGGCAAGGTAAGCGCGCCAGGTGCCCCTAAGAACTGAGGCACAGGTGTCACGAAGAAAGCCAACAAGAAATTAAAAGTTACTGCAATTAGTCAGAGCCCCAATCGCATTTAGAGCTCGCACCATCTATGTATCTCTCCATCTACTTCCGCCAGCAAACACGATACCAAAATTAAATTTAAAAAAAAAATTTTTTACAAAAACTTTCCCAACTGGCCAAACGCTTAACGGCTTTTCGGCTTTATATGGAAATTCTGATTGGAGACCCAATCGGAGGCTGCCAACTACGCGAGGCGTTTGCAATATTTTAAGCCAATAAACTGTAAATTTAAATATAGAAAAGTGTTAACTTATCTACCTAACCTAGCGCTGTTTTTTGGCAAGCGCATCGAATGATTTATTAGTTTGATAAGCATTCAGCGGATTATTATTATTATTGTTGTTGTAGTTCGTGTTGGTGTTGTTATTGAAGAAGGAGAAGAATAAGCACAACATTTAACTTTCGAATAGTCCCAATAAAATATAATAATTGAAAACAAAACGTGAGTCAGTCTGTGTTGTAGCCGCCAGACAGAAATCCAAAGACACACAGCCAACAAACACACACACATACGTTGCATAAGGTATGTGTAAGGTACGTGGATGTGTCTGTGTGTAAAAGTCAGCGACCCAAACAGACAGACGCCCACGCAACTTACTGACTGAGCCGTAGACAAAAGTTTAACACAAAGCCAACTTTCTCAATGAATCTCGCATGCAGGAAAAACCACAAAAAAAAAAAAAAAAAAAAACCAAAAAAAAAAAAAAACAGAAAAAGGTTTATATTATTTATTATTATTATTTTTTTTTTTAATAGTGTGAATAGCAGCCCGATGTGAATGCACTCGATGTGAGTGCACATTCTTGAATGCAGCTCACCTCTCTCCCATGCCCAGGGGTTGACCTCAACCAAAACCCATGCAAAGCTACACAAGCATGAAAAGTGAATACAACTAATTGTGAAGAATAAGCTTGAGCATCGAACTCGAAGTTTAAAAGTGAACTGTTATAGCATAGTATCAGATCAATTGCATACGGCAGCATCCTAGGTCCACTTGCGCTGCGATATAATGTACGATATATAATAACACATAATACGATATATAATATACCGCAGATCAACTCTGCCTCTACCATAAGGATCGTGTCATCAAAGCTATTTTCGCTGATTTTGAACTTTGCTGTGCTCTGAAGCTCGGAAAGCATACTAGAAGATTGGAACCCATACTAGTAGATCTAGTGCTCGACGCGACTAAAGAGCGCACAATGTCAATGCCAAGCCGTGAAGCAACAAAAATAGGATTTGCCAAAACGATATGCAACAATAATAAGGTCCCTCTCCCAATACTAGAATACTCCAGAGTCCTCTTGCTTATAACATGAGGTTTGGTGTTTTACTTACTAGATCTATGATTGTGCTGTTAAAACTCTACAATTTTAGCCCACGCATAATAAAAGAAATAAAATAGAATGAAAGCAATAATAGTAATTTTTTGTCAGTATGGCAACATCAATATATCAATATACAAATATATTAATATATCAATATATCAATGTATTCGATTAATTTCTTAGGTAATGCACTCACCTTGATGTTCGGCTGCTGCAACTGCAAGAAAGTGGCTACTCCATTGCGCACACGATTCTTGACGCCGCGCACGGTGCCCTTGGAGGAGCGAATGGTGGATGACTGCGAAGAACGGCGCACATCTTTGAGGCCGGCAAAGGCGTCCTCCTGCTCCAACTGCTGCTGCTGCTGCTGCTGCTCGACGTCGCCGGGCAAACTGAGCGATTCATACTCCGGCGACATGCGACTGCAACTTACCGGACCGAAGCTCCGATAATTCGCATGCTCGTTCACGTGGAAGTTGTAGTACTGGTCGGCCTCGTATTGCAAAGGGCGTCCATTGATTTTGGTCGCGATAACCGACTGATCGAAATCGCCCATAGCTCGTGCTGCATCCCTGTCCCGTATGTCGCGCAGCAACGAGCTGGGCAGCAAGGCGCCCAGCTTGATTAGCGGCGCCGGCTCGTGCGAGTCGTGCAGCGAATCACAGCTGAGCGAGGAGCTGCTCTCGTCGCACTCCTCGCTACTATCCGTCAGGCTGTGGGCTCGTGAATGATTGCCCGACTGGCCGCTCGAGGTGTTCACACGGATTCGCGTCGTCTTCAGGTGGAGCTCCAGCTTGGGCACGCCTGTGTTGCCCTTATTGCTGTTGTTCATGTTGCTCATGTTGCTCATGTTGCTCATGTTGCTCGTGACATTAGTTTCACTGCTGGGCGACTTGATGCTCTCCAGATCGCTGCCTGTGCCACTGTCCAAAGTCTCGCAGGGCGAATACTGTCCGCTGGAGACCAAATAGCATAGCTGATACGGCGTTGTGATAGTTTGTGATCCCGTTTGTAATTGCTGCTGCTGCTGCTGTAGCGGTAAGTGTAACTGCAACTGCTGCTGCTGGTGTTGCTGATGTTGCTCGTGTTGCTCTTGCTTGAGCCGTAACACCATCTCGCTATCGCTCTGACTGTCGTTCAATTTGACCACGCTTATCTGCTTGCCCAGCCTGGCTGGCTGACTTTGACTCGAATTCAAACACTGACCGTTACCGTCGTCGTTGCCGTTGCCGTTGTCGTTGGCTATCTGAATCTTAACCGTGTGCTGAGGCGCACAAAGACCAACTGTTTCGGTCGATGCACCCGTTGGCCAATCGACTAGCGCTAACTGACTAGCATCGCCGTCTCTCTCAGCAGTTTCTCCAGATTGCAGCTGCTCAGCTGTCGCTCGTAACACGTTTCTAACGTCATCGGCAACATTGCAGCTGATAATGGTCGATGTTGGCGCCATTTCACCAGCTCTAGCAGCATCGCTCGCTGGGTTAACCTCGGCCTCGCTCTCCGTCTGGCCAATGCGCAACAGTAACTGTGGATATAACTTTGTTGCTGGCTCACTTGTTGCTGTTGCAGCTGCAGCTGTTGCTGCCACTGTGCTGGAACTGGTTTCCAAAACCACATTGCTCGCATGGTCAAGCTGCAACGTCTCCGAATTGCTGCTGTTGATGCTGATGCTGGTGTTGCTATTGTTGTTGATGGTGTTGTCACCAAATGCCAACAACATGGCCTGTGATTTGGGCGACATTTCATCGCTTTCAATGTTGCTGCTTGCCGGCTTAGCTGGTTGCTCAGATGCAATTATTATCGAAATACCGCGCAACGGCCTTTGCTGCGGCTGCTGCTGCTGCTGCTGCTGCTGCTGCATGCTGCCAATTGTTGTAGTTGTTGCTGCCATCGTTCTGGAAACAGCAACAGCATTTGGCAATTTGATGCGCCGCCAATATCTAATTTCAAATTTTATGCAATTGTCTCGCGTCTGTGCTTGTTGTTGTTGTCGCTACAGGTTGGTGTTGCTGTTGCTGTTCTTATAATGCTGTGCTAGTTGTTGCTGACCGTTGCGCAGCGCACTTTACAGTTAGTTGGCCGCATGCAGATTGCACCTGCAACAAAAGAGCAAACAGAATATACCATAAGAAAAAAGAGACAGAGTCAGAGAGAGAAAGAGAAGAGAAACTTGGCCAACTGACTAACTGGCCAACTGGCTAGCTGGCTGAATGCTGCCAGCTCGCAGCATGAGCTTGACATTTAAGCCGAAGATGTGCCTGGCTCAGAGGCAGACGCGACAGCTAATAAATGTTAAAAGCTGCCACAAACACGAAAGCACAACAAAAACAACGAGATAACAATAAAAATACCAGAAACAAAAACGAGAAATAACAAGTAAGAAAGCTCTAGTCGAGACTGCTCGACTACGAGATCCCCTGAACCCTTCGAGCAATAGCTATTTCAATCAATTTTTCGCGTCTTTCTGCTTACACAAGACACACGCACACACACACAAACAAACCCACGCACACACACACATACACGCCCACAAGCACCCACGCCTAAACACGCATGGGCTGCCGTGTGCACTTAATATGAGAACTTAATTGTTCAATAACTTTTTTTATGGATGTACTTTCTTCATGAAACTTTCAGATTATGATTTTAACATGGATATGCATGCAAAGCACAAGTCTCTAGTATTTTAAATACACCTTTTCTTTAATGTTTTTAATCGATAACGAAATAACGGAGCAAGTTATCGATTTTTAAAGCAAAACTCGACCTCCGCGTGGTATACACGGGCATTTTAAAAAAAAATTTGTAGTCTCTAGCTCTTATATCTTCTGAAATCGACGCGTTCAAACATACTGACAGACGGACAGACGGACGGACGAACGAGGCTAAATCAACTCAGCTCGTCGCCCTGATCAAGAATATATACACTTTGTGCGGTCTGCCACGCCTCCTTCTGCCTGTTACGTACATTTCAACAAAACCATTATACCCTGATTTCCCATGGAAAATGGGTTCAGGGTATAAAAATAACCATCGCAATAATGATAAACACAAAACCGCATTCTAAGCTTTCATAACAATAAAGTTAAGAACAAAACAGCAGAAGGAGAAGCAGAAACAACTAATAGAATTTCGAAGTAACGAAATCTACAATTTATTTGGCTGCATCAAATATATTCACTTTATCAGTTCTATAGGATTTGAGATCTGATTTATGTTTAAAACTCCGCTTTGTAAAATATTCCACATTCCTAATTGCAAGCAGGCTAGTAAAATAACTTCGGGCTATACTTTTTCTTAGGTAAGAATCGATCTACAATTCTTCTCAATTTTATTAATTCAAATATTTTTAAACCATTCTCGTGCGATGAGATCCTTAATTGACTTCTTCATTCGACATTAATTCGAAATAAGTAGATTGGATTTACCTGGGAATTAGTTTGGTATTCTGGTTTGGTATATGTCGTATCTGTGATGTGATTATCTGTATCATTATGCATATGCTTATTACCATTATGAGACAATTTCTATCATTATTATTATTTTTTTTTTTATTTATTTATTTTATTTTAATTAATTTTTTTTTTTTTTTTTTTTTTTTTGAAAAAAAAGAAATTATAAGCGAAGTCAAATTATAATAAAACAAATGTACAATAGCAACGATGCTTAGAGAAGAGGCTGTGGCTTTGCATAAACACATGAACAATGAGGACTGCTCCCAATTACGACCCATATAAGGACCCCACCTTGAAGGCTAATAACGCCTTCATCTAAAATAAGAGGCAGCCCAAGAGAGAAGGTTTTAGAGTCCATCGACAGTAACTATAGTCTGACATATCTGACAGGCGCTGCATAAGAAGCTTTTATCTGCCTTAACCACAAAAAGCAACTATGATAATTTTGATTGCTGATTATCAGTCTCATTATCATAATATACAAATCCCCTTTATAATATTGGAAACCCTATAGACTGATTAAAAACTATTATTATTATTAACATAAGTATTATACCACTGCTATTATATTAATATATCATTAATATATTATTATTTATATATATACATACATATATGCATATATAAATATGATTAATACACATGTTCTGCATGATCTGGTACTATGATATTAACACATTTAGTTATGTACATATATGTAGAATATATGTATATCCAAACCTCTATTACAAAGTTGCCTGCTCGCTTTGTTGACCCATTTGTTGTATTGACTCTTCTTTTCAGCTAAGGCTTTAGATCTAAATGATTGATGGTTTGATTGATTGTGGAGTCTATAGGGAATTAGTTCCACGGAATTTCTATGACATTATCCACAGCGCCTTAGAACAACGACGACAAGCAGGTAGCTTGTAGGTAATGAAGTTCATTGTTTCGGAATGCCAATATAACAGCATCTCTTATATATTTCAATTTATCTGCTACTTTTTCTTCTTTTTTTTTTTTTGGATCGCACATCATCGATACTTTTAGAGTACGGAAAAAAAACCAGAAAAAAATTCTTTTAAGAACAAGATTTACATACATTTGATGTGGATGTTGGCCTGCGGCTTGTTGTTGTTGCTATTGTTGTTATTGTTGTCGCTGTTATTGTTGTTGTCTTTCTGAAAACTGGTAACTGGTTACACTTGAACCTGACGCTGACCAGTTGCTGGGATACTCAGTTCGTAAATATTTGAAGCGGGCGGACAAGGCGCCTCTAAGTGTTACAGTTGTTGTTCTTGTTGTGGCTGCGATTGATGTTGTTGTTGCTGACCTGCATTGCCACTTGCTGCACAAAAATTTCGTTTGGCGGCAAGACCAACACACAAGACCAAAAAAAACAAAACAAAAACTAACCAAAACTAAAGCAACAAAGTCAACGGTAATAAAAAAAATGTAACAAAAATGTGCAGGCAGTTAGTTAAGAGGCGGCTGGGCGTGGCTGGCACACTCACGCAGTCGCGCACATCTACAGTCGCACGCACACGCGCACGCACGCTACTCTGGAGGCTCGAAGTGAAGAGTTTCAAGCTCAAATGGATGGCTTTTTTCAGTTTTCGGTTTTTGAATTTCGACTTTTGGATTTCGATTTCGGTTTTAGGCGCCTTGAAGCAACGCGGCGCGTACAACTCATTCAAAATCGCGCTGGCAACTGAAAACCGCACCAACAAAGTCGCGCTGGGTTGGCATGCTTTGCCAGGGATTTGTTGTTGTTGCTGTTGCTGCTGTTTGTTGAATACATTTTTTTCCTACGTGCCTCTGTCGCTGCCGCGATGACTGCCATAGCTTTTATTTTTTACATTTTTGCTTTCAAGAAATCCAAAAAAAACAACTGCGACGGCAGCAGCGGCGTCGTCGCCAACAAAATAACTTAAAACAACAAGAAAAAGAAAAAACAACAACAAAAACACTCAGGCGATCGCAGTCATAAACGCTGCGACGACGCAGCCAGCAACAGCGGCAGCGGTAAAAACAATGTGAGCTGAGAATTTGTTTACGAGCGCAGGCGCAGGCGCAGTCCCGCAGTCGCAGTCGCAGCCGCAGCCGCAGCCGCAGTGGTAGTCAACGCCAGCAGCACATTGTACACACCCCCATGACGCCACCGCCCCGCAGCCCACCTGTTGCTGTTGCTGCCGCAGCGACTGTTATTGTTGTAGTACTTGTTTGTTGCCAAAGTTAATTGTGTGCGGCTGCCGTAGTTGCCGCAAGCTGCACAGTGGCACGCACTAGTGCAGAACTGTAAACAATCTGAATAAAGGATTGGTAATAAACATTCTTATTCGAGTCATATTTACGATTCTTCAAAGCCAACTATTTAATAATAAATTATTATTTTTGCTTAAATAAATTCTTCTTTATTGTCATGCAACAAGGAAATGTTTAGCTCAACTTTGTTTTGAACTTATATTTGACTTTGCAAACAATTCCGGTTTTATCTAAATAAAGAAGACTATTTTTAAGCTTAAAATATTGCTAAAGAACAAAAAATAAATAAATAAAACAAGTAAGAAGGCTCTAGTCGAGACTGCTCGACTAGGGGATACCCGGAACCCTCTAAGCTGATATTATACTCATTCTGCATTTATTTTATGCATACATGCATACACACGCATCCACACGCACCTATTATGAAAATTATTTGGTGAATAATTTCTTTTGTAGACATACAATCCCATTTTCAATGGGTTCAGGGTATAAATAAGTAGGAAAGCTCTAGTCGAGACTGCTCGACTATGAGATCCACTGCACTCTTCGAACAACTGATAATTAAATAATTATTCGCTACGGGAACTTAATTGTCTAATAACTTTTCTTGTGGATGGACTATCTTCATGAAACTTTCAGATCGTGTTAATAACATTGAAGTGAGTGCAGTTGCCAAAAGTACATATGAATTATGGTTGTCGAATATTTTTAAAATATCGTATCGATGATAAAGTTTAAAAAAAAAATATCAATATGATATTTAAAATGCAACATTAAAAATATCTCAATATATTTCTATTTTGTAAAAGCTTGTTTCCTTTAATTTATAATCCTTCCCAAAAGCAAGAATAATAGGAATAAGTATATTTAGCACTTGTTTTCATTACATTAAGGCACAAATTAAATATATAAAATAATGCAAAAATATTCGATATTTTGGCAAAAAAATATTCCGAAATAAATATATTTTTTGTTAAAAAATATATATATTGATATTTCGATATATTTTCAACAACCTTAATATGGATCTATGTTTATAATTTGACGAGATGCTTTAAAGATGCAACCGATATAAATTTCTAACTAATTTTCGATAAGGTTTTTAATCGATAACAAAATAACGGGAATAAAAACAATGCACGTGATATACACGGACCTAGGAAAAAAATGTCAAGTCTGTAGCTCTTATATCTTCTAAGATCGACGCGTTGAAACATACGGCCAGGCGGGCGGACGGACAGGGCTATATCGACTCAGTTTGTCGCCCCGATTAAGAATATATATACTTTATGAGGTCTGCCACGCCTCCTTCTGCCTGTTACACACATTTAACAAAATGATTATACCCTGATTTCCCATTGAAAATGGATTTTATTATCTGAAAAAAAAACAATATCATATTGTCTTCTTGGATAACTCATGAAACACTTAAAATAATATAGAATTATTTTGTCGGTTTCTTTTCGCCTTCGGCATATCTGAAAGAACAGCAAAGCGTGGCAAACCAGTTATGGGCGCACAGAACCAGTTAACATTTGTGAGGTATTGCTTGCCACTGTGCATTCCACTGTCAGTCGCTCGGCCGCATATAAACGTCGGCTTTTGCGGCGGCATTCGTCTTAGCTATTTCATTTATATTTCGCCTGCCTCATATACATACATGCATATGTATGTACATATTCCTATACATACATATTCATGTAAATATAAGCGTGTGCGTGAGCGAGTGTGTGTGTGTGTGCATAGCTTACAACTGGGCATGGCTCAATGACTTGATTGTCTTTCTCTCTCGATTCCACTCTCTTCGTTTCTCTCTTCTATTTTCAGCACATACAGCAGCAGCATTTGCTGCATTTCTGCTGCTATTACTGTTGTTGGCGCCTGAGGCTTGTCTCTCCTAGGCTCCTCTGTTTAAGGTTGACTGGTGGTCGACGTCGACGTAGACGCTGACGTTGCTGTAAACTTCGTTACCAGTGCTGCTGCTTCGGCCCATGTTTTTGTTGTTTTTGACTTACCATTTAACATGTCTGCTATCGATGTATTGGCTTTTGTCGATTGTTGTTGCTGCTGCTGCTGCTGCTGCTGCTGCCGCTGCTGCTGCTAATGTAGGCGCTGCCACAAAAACTATGCCAACAATTTGTGTGCAGGTGTCGCCGCAGCAGCAGTAGCAGCAACAACAACATCATGATATTGTTGCATTTGAAGTTTCGTTTTTAATTGTGCTCGCCTGGCTGGATTTCCATTACCATTTATGCAAAAGCTTTTCAAATTTGTGTGTGCAATCAATGGAGCCACAAACAGAAAGAAAAAAGTTATTTGAAGGCACATGAGCAGCGTTAGCGAGACGACAAGACACCAACACCAACACCAACGCCAACAGCAAAAGCAATAGCAACATCAATAAAAACTGAAACAGCAACAGCAACAACAAGAAACATCTGTAATTTTCCGCTAATTTGATGCCCAAGACGCTGACGGACACTGAGCACAGCTTAGAGCCTATTGAGTGCTTGCCTGCCCAGCTTGCTGCTACCTGGTTACTTGGCTCTCGTTTCCCTACTCTACTCACTGCTGCCACTTGGCGGCAACTGTTTCCGCCTGTTGCGCTTCGCTGCGGCGAGCCCAGGTGGGGCCAAAGGCGCTCGGCTGCTGGCTGGACAACAAGTTAAGAAAGAATCACAGTTGAGCCAACCGTTAGGAATGCGTACCATGAGTAGCAGCTGTGCCTGTAGTTGGCAAACTACCTGGCAAAGTGCCTGGAAACTCATTAGCTCTAGCTTGGCACAAGTAGAAATGCTCAGCTACTACACAACCTGTCAGAGATCAAAGTACTTTAGCAGTGGACACCCTGCCATTGCACATAACTGCTATCAGCTGATGCTGCTTATTCTGTTAAGACCCCCATCTGCTCAGTTGTGCTACTGCAAGTAGTAGTGGTTCATTACCCAAAACATAAACCACATCAAACGGAACTTTTCCCCTTACAAAATAAAAATTAATGTAGATAATTGGAATTGCAACAAGTTATTACCCTAGAACCCTCCTAAAAGCCTAGAGTCATACAGGCCCAGTCTCCTTATTACATTTTGTGAACAAGATTCCGAACTCCATCGTTACATTTCAATTCGGATTCATTCTAACAGCGGAACTGTTGCACAAGGTATCATATCAGGTATCATATCGCATATCAGACTTATTCCACGCCAAAAGCAAGAGCGAGATGCCTGGAGTAAGCTCGTATGTCTAACAAGGAAGCGTTCTTGTTTATACTATTGCTACTTCTAGCTACTCTAGTCCACCAAATAATAGAGATATGGAATATCAAAATTGCATCTGAACAAACTGCATGCCACACAGGCGGTACTGAGTAGTGTACACTGTACACGCAACACTGAACAAGCAACAAATTTCGATATACAATTGGTATGCTATTTAAAGCATTTATCTTATTGACAATACAACTACACAATTATAAAGCTACCTCAGACAAGCGAGTAGTTAGGAATATACTCCATTTTAAAATAGCATCCAAAGCTATTCCCTTATCTTGTATAAAATATTTGATATATGATTCGGATTTCAAAAATTTTTAAATTTAAGGGAAAAAATGGTGATCATTAGCTTTTTACATAATTGCTTTATTGTCTTTATGTAAATTATTGTTATTGTTATTGTTACTGTTATTCAAGTGTTCTTCCATAGCTATAACATACATTGTCATATCATATTCCATATTATACTTTAGATTTTTATCTTTACAATAGAACAAAATACAATATTTATAATAATTAATAATAAACAATAATATTAATATTATTATCAATTAACACATTCAATAAATACTTATCATAATTTCTCTTCGATTTCTTTTTCTATTTTAGGAAAATTGTGGGTTAGATTTGTATTTTGGGTCGGTTGGGATGTCTAAGTATTGGCATTGGTATAGTTGTATATGGCCTTAAAACGTCTTTAATAATTATTGTCAACATCGATAGTTTTTGTATATATATATTTTATATATATATAATCTCAACTATAAATAGATGTGCGGACTTATGTAAATATCAATATTGTAGATCTATTTCAAGTAAATTAACACACACAAAAACGTTCATTTGTATATATGTGTATATACTTACATAGGTACATATTGTTTTATTATCATGGAAATATATTATACATATACATATATAGTTCATATATGCGGAACTTCTCTTTTATAGTCATGCGATATCTTTTATTATAGATAAACCTTCATTAATATTTGTATAATTATAGAACTTTGCGGTACTCTAGATGAACGGTTTTGTTTGTTATGGTTAGGCATGGATCGAGTAGATATATGCTATATGAGTTAGTACCCGACATCTAACATACATATGCAGTTGTCTCTTATCACGTTTAGTGCTAACTATATTAAATACATTGAATATATTGTATATATTGGCTATTGATCGCTAAATCGTAGGCCCCAATCTCCTCCATTAAATAACATTTAGATTACGTAATATGAATAAAGAAATAGATGCATATATGCTTTAACAATAGATATGTTCGTATTATTTATCTGACGACTTAAGAGCTAAGAATTCGTTCGTATCGTTTACTAGGAAAACAGAGAAGCGAAATTGAGTACTCATAAAACAATAATAGAATAGGGCTCAAGTCATTGGGTTTAAATTTCATTTCATCATCAGCAACAACACAAAAAGCTGAGCGAATCACAACAGCGAATCATATATTAAAGTATATATGTATGTATATAGGCAAATCGGTTTGTTTGTAAAACAATTGTTAGCGTTATTTGCCCCATATCGTATTATATTATTCGGTATTTAGATATATGCATATATATATAGATCGCGTATAACTAAAAGAGATATGGTAAGGTTGCTTAGTCAGTGAATATATACGTATACATACAATATAACATACTATATGTTGCATAAGGTAGGTAAAACACCAACTTAAAGAATTCTCACAAACCGTTAGATTTTTTTAGCTTTAAACATCCTTAAATGCTTTAGACACATTATAATTTAACATTTATATAAATATATATATAATATATAACATTTATATAAATATATATATATATATATTTTAGATATAGTCAGCAAACGTTTTTCTTTTTTTTATTAACTTGGCATCAATTTCACTTTGCCTTTCATTTCCTTTTGCCTCTTTTCTTTTAAGTCAACAAAATTAAAGAATCAACTTCAAAAATGGAAATCAGAAATGCTTTGACATATATGTCTGTCATATACATGTGTCTGTCTGAATGCAATGCCAAAAACAAAGCTCGACCATTGTATAGGTATGTCCCACTTTTAGCTCTATTGAGGCAGAAAGAAAACAAATAGGTGCAATTGTCGACAATGCACGACGTGTAGATACCTGTAGCCAGATTTTACACACTAGCTTGTCCTTTTAGATAAGTATATATTATAATATTATGACACTCGAAAAACCCAGGATATATTACCAATTAGGAAATGTCCTTGCTATCCTTATGCCCATCGCACACCAAGCTATTTTGATAAATTTTGATAGCTCTTACACTTCTCGATATACAAGTATGTTCATATATCGAAATTCTAGCTACAGGGTAAATATAGTTATATCCTAGTATCTGAATCCATATTGTTTGCTATGCCAACTGCTTTATACACATAGATATTTAGTTGAACATACTAAATGGAATTATGTCAAAACATTTTCTAGATATTTATGTGTTTTCTTTTTCAATTAATATGATTATTATTAAAGAATTCTTTTTCGGTTCATACTCGTATTTCATCATTTTCTTATTTCTTGCAGTTGCTGAAACCGCGCAGAAGGCGCTAAGTTCACCTTTTTTTTTGTTGTTTTCTGTGTTTTCTTAGGGTTCCTGTATTTCTTGCGGTGCGTTGCTACTTCTACAGTCGTTTTTGGCTTGGGACAGTCTTTGGGAACATATAGATACATACTTGGGAGCTACCGACACTGCCTCCATCGGACTTTTTTTTTTTTTTTTTTTTTGTATAGCTCATTTATATTTACAGTTAACTGCTTTATTTGTTTCTGTTTTCCTTATTTTGTTGTTATTGTCGAGATTTGCAGATGACTTAGCCATACCTACTCCTCCTCCTCCTCGAGCGACTTTTCTGGTAACCCATACTTGGGACAGCACATGCCTTCCGTTCCATCCATGTTGAAGCAGAAGACACTGCGCTCCAGCTCGGTAGGCTCATGCGGCACAATGCCATGTACTTCCCTGAGCTCTGCTTCAGGAAACCAGGCGGGATCCGAGTCCTCAACTACCTTAATGCCACATAGACTAGAATTCAAAAAGTCAAATTCAACAGTGAACATGACCAAATATACAAACAAAAAATATATCCAATTATGCGTGAAGTAGCTTCGTTAAGCTTTACATTGAGTTCTCATATGGTGCTAAAGCTATTTGATATACTTACATGTTATGTTATCAATAATAAATCACATCTAAGCTTTACTCTTTCTTAAAAATTTTATACATTTTGTAATAAAGTAAAAAGTAAGGGAAAAAGCTACATAACAAATTTATTGTCATGTTTTTATATCTGAAGAATGAATGAACTAGATTCCAATAATATATGTATGTGTAATAAATAATAAAAAAATAAATAATTAACCGCAGTATCGAATAAATACAGGAATAAGTACGCATATTCCTATATTACTTTATTAAAGGCTTATGAGACATACTTTACTTACCGTAATATGGCGACGAGTGGGATCCACAGTATGGATGAAAGGATCAGTATGAAAGCGATGACAATGCACCAGTGCGGCCATTCCATTTTCTCAGTGGCACCCGTGGCCGCGATCCAGGCCGGATAGCTGCTGCCCTCGGTCACCAGCTGGTAGAAGGAGGCCAGTAGGATGGTGACCATGGCACAGGGCGACAAATACTTCCAGCAGAACATCCAGTAGAAACCCGGCCTAGAGCCAGTCATCATCTCAATGTCATCGGAGAAGCGCCTGACACCATAAATATAGCTGATCGAGAGGCACTCGAACAGCGCAATGATCAGCAGTGGGAAATTGCCAGCAAAGCTGTCCATTAGCTGAAAGATGTAACTGCCAGCGCCGTTGGCAAAGCACATGGAGATCAGACAGCAGGAGAGGCACAGCGCCTGCAAAACAGAAACAGAAAAAAGTAAGAAGGCTCTAGTCAAGACTGCTCGACTAGGAGATACCCTGAACACTCCAAGCTGATATTCTAATCATTCTGCACTTCTTTTATACACATATACATGCACATTCATCCACACGAACGTATAAACACGCACTCTGCTAACTGCGCAGTAAGCAGCGACTGCGCTTGGGCTGCGAAGCAGTGTGGGCAATATTATGAGAATTTACATGTTGAATAATTTCTTTTGTAGATGTACAATCTTAAAACTTTCAGGGATAATCATATGGTTAAAATGTGTGTGCATTCCAAAGCACAAGTCTCTAGTATTTGAAGTTCAATTAGAAATCGGGGACAAAGTGGGTGTGGTATGGGGTAAATCTGTAAACTACAAAATCTTCGCATCGATCAACTGTATGTATACAGTAAATCTGAAGTCTCTAGGCCTAAAAGTGTTCAAATTAGGCTGAAAAAACAAAAATAAATGTTTCTATTATTATCGATAAAAAAAGTTATCGGATGAGTTATAATATATTATAACTTCTGAGATCGACGCATTCATATGGACGGACGGACAGACGGACAGGGCTATATCGATTCAGCTCGTCGTGCTGATCAAGAATATATATACTTTATGGGGTCTGCGATGATTCCTTCTGCCCGTCACATACTTTTTCACAAAACCATTATACCCTGATTTCCCATTTTCAATGGGTTCAGGGTATAATAAGTTTGTATGGGAAAAGTTAAGAGGTACGTAAGATACATACGCCCACGATATATTCCTTGGGCAGATTGGGAAAGAGTTTCATGTCCACCAGCGACGTGACCACGCCCTCCAACGTGCCAAACTGCGAATCTATTCCCAAGGTGAAGAGCATTAGAAAGAAGAGCACAGCCCAGAGCTGGGCGCCAGGAAACTGATTGATCGCCTCAGTAAAGATGATAAAAGCCAGCCCTGTTCCAGATGCGCTCTGCCAAAGGGAAGGACACAATTAAAGAGGACATTGAGTGTGGAAGAGTGGAAGGTATCTCCACTCACATTGGCCAACTCCTGTTGTAGATCGCAAACGGGTAAGTTGTGCGTACGATTCAGGGCCACCAGGCCAGCTCGTTCCTCTGTGCAGCGATCGAAGGTGGCCGTTGCCTTGAAGCCAATCACCGCAAAGACAACAACGCCCGCAAACATGGAGGTGCCGCAGTTGGTCATCGACACCAGAATAGCATCCCTGTAGCAATTGTTGTTAGCCGGATTGTAGGAGCTGAAGGCGATCAGGCCGCCAAAGGCGAGTCCCAGTGAGAAGAAGATTTGGGTGCCAGCCTCTAGCCACACGACCGGGTCGAGCAGCGTCTCCCAGCGGGGCGTGAATAGATGAGCCACGCCGTCGGCGGCACCTTTGAGTGTGATGCCCCGGAAGAAGAAGATAATGAGCACAACATACGGAAAGATGGCCGTCATGTAAACGATTTTGCCTGACGACGTGATGCCCTGCACCATGCAGATGTAGACCAAAAACCAGGACACTATCAACGCAATGGCCATGTGATAATTAAAGCTCTCCGGCATGTCCACGCTCTCCGAGCACTGCAGAGTGGTGCGATACCAATAGAACTGGGTCGGCGACGAGGCCACGCACTCTGGCTCATGGTCGTATGTATAGTTCTTATAGAGCCGAGTCGGACAGTCGGCCCACGGCAATGGCGACTCGAAGCTGTGTAGCAAATAGATCAAGCACCAGGCAATTATCGTATTGTAGTAGAGCGCTACAATGAAGCTGACCACAGCCGACGAGATGCCAATGCCGCCCAGGTAAGGCGACACCTGGCTCCACACACCGATCGCTCCCTTGCGCAGTCGTTGGCCAATGGCCAGCTCCAAATAGAAAATCGGTATACCCTGTATGCACAGCATTATGAAATAGGGCACCAGGAAGGCGCCTCCGCCATTCTTCTGCGCCAGATACGGAAACCGCCACACGTTGCCCAGGCCAACTGCGTAGCTGCAAATGAAGAACAAGAAGAAGAAGAAGATTTTTATATTTGTATGCAAGTGTGCTCAGTGAGTATGAAGACCAGCTAGGAGATACCCGAAGCACTAAGCTGAACAGGGCTCAGTTACTCCCTCTTCCCGACGATGGCAGGGAAGGACGATCTGAACTTATTGAATAACTTAGATTTCAGGTGTGCGATTTTAATGAAATGTACTAAACAAAATGAGAGACTGCACAGAATATTGCTAGCCCATGCTCTTGCTCAGAAATATCTTCAAGCAGTCTAATGCACTTCAACTTGGCTCTGAAATATCATTAGGGAAGTCTATGGTACTTGGTCTAAGTCTTCTGCTCCAAGAGTATTTACCGTATACCATCATACAAGTATTTTAATAGCAAGGAGTTAAATATAAAATCTGATAGATGAATATGATATTGTTAGAGTAGTTATAGCTTACCCAATGGTGGCTAGCAGGAACATGATTTTGCTATCCCAGCTCTCGCGCTCCTCGCCCTCCTTTTCGCCCTCAACGATGTCCTGCTGCTGCTGCGGTTGCTGCTGTTGATCCACGTTAGCGGAGAGTTCGGCCTTAATTCGGCTAGTGCTCGCATCCGAGCCGAAAGGTGGCTCTTGCTCCAATTCGGATGACTCATCGAAGGCATCGGACATGAAGCCCTGATTCGTTGCGCCGTACATGGGCTGATGATGGTGATGCAGCGATGTGTGATGATGATGACTGACGCCATGCTCCTTGGGCACCAGACGGCCACGCAACTCCTGAGTCCATAAAAATGGAGTTAATCTCAGATAGGTCAGACTTATAATATCAACTCACTCGCAGTTCCAATTGATCGATGCTCCTCTGGGTCTTGAGCACAATGTCGCGCGAGCTCTGACGGCGTAGCAATTGCGCTGTGTTCGCCATAGTCGATGTTGCGTTAAACGGTAAAAGTGTTCTTGTAGTTTATGTTTTTTGTATTGGGTTCTTTGTTTATTTATTTATTTAAATCGTTGTAGGGTGAGAGGAATATGCTTGTTGCAAGTGGGAAGTCGGCAAATGTTTTTGTGCAGGTGCTAATTGAAATACGCTTGCTGCTCAGTGCCAAAAGAACTGATTGCTTCACTGCTTACGGTGCGGTGTTGTATGGCTCAGGTGACTAACGGCTCGATCGACATTCGCGTTGCATACTTTTGTGCACTAAGTAAAATTATCACTGGCCGCCATCTTAATTGCAGTTTGTATCAATTTCCTTCTTACTTGACAGTGAGAGAAATAGGGAGAGAGATAGAGAGAGAGAAAGTGCTAAACAAAAGTAACTTCGCATACACAGACAACTGAAGTCGAACGTGAAATAACTGAACGGAACGTAAACGTATCATGCAGACATAACAATCAATCAGCGTAATTACAAATAATAAAGACAACAAACATTCCTTCCGCCAGGATACCCACCCACTGACAGCTAGAAGAGTGAAAGCGCCCCGTGCATAATAAATCAATCAAACAAACACGAGCAAGCACCTCAACACCTACGCAGATTTATGTGAAAGGGTTTCAATCAAACATGCTGATAAGGTGCACTAATGTAGCCAGAGTAATGGATTTACTTAATAGAATATCACAAAGTGCTACAAATGAAACTGAATTTTGTATTATATAGAAGCCTTGACTCATACATACATATGTACAAGTTAGGCATCTATATTTTAACGATTTTTGATTACTGGATAGTCATTCAGTTGTGCATTCACTGTATTTCACTTTTTTTGCATAAGCTACTAATGTTGCGTGCAATTAAAAATGTTTATTTTAATGTGAATTAGCGTCAAGTTAATAAAGAACAACTCTGTTGCCTACTTATCGGCTTGCACTTATACACACACACACATATATATATATATATATATATATATGTATATATATATATATAAATATGCATATACGGTATGTATATATATGCTGGAATGTTCACTTAATTCATTCTGTACTTATATAACGACGCTTCAATGCGAGCATAGGCCAAAGGACTCTTTTTGACAATGTCTGCACGTGCTGCTATGCTGGTTAGCGTCCAGGTGTTAGGCTCAACTATCACCCATTGTAGGACCACATAAATATATATATATATATATATATATATATATATATATATATATATATATATATATATATACACATATATATACATACATAAATCGTTATGAACGTACGTGCTTATCTTTGTATGTACATATGTATGTACAGCTAATACAAGCTAATCAACTTAAGGTCTAACAACGGGACGCAAGGACGTGCGCCGCACTGCTGGATCTGCAGGACGATGACAAGAAACTGTTGAGCAGACGGGATGAACACCAGGAGTCGCACTCACTGAGCTCTGCTGCTCAATTGAGCGCGCGCGCAGTCTACAACCAGGATACATGATGGCAGGCAGCGTCAGTTAGAGCGAGACGGCAGCAATGGAGGGCTGAATTGGGAACGCTTTGTGTAAATAGAAAAGGCCAAAACAGAGAAATGGCCAGCAACAAATTAGGCTACAACCACCACTGAGAAGCACAGCTGATTGGCATATGATTTTACATGTGCGCAACGAATTTTCATATTCGTAAACAGCTACAACCGTTACTGCGTTATCGGAAAACAAACAAACATACATATGTACATACATATGTAAGTATAATAGCTAATCAGCGTAATCTGTACAAAATAAATAAATTTCCTAAACGTAACGTCAACATAAATCTACCCAAGCTCATAAATCAAAATCATATGTTCAATACGTAGAAAAATAAATCAACAATCGTCACGGAAGCAATAGTAACGTAATATATCGAATAAGCGCAGCGCAAAGTAAGCCTCACGATACGATATTTAGCGACTATATTTGTTTTTGTTGTTGGCGCCGCTTACAGGCGCTGTAAATTGCATCAGTTGCCAAAAGATTTCATAATTAACCCAAGCAAATTGCTGCAGGCAACATGGTCTTCAAATGCCAAGAAGACAGCTTCTTGAAACAGGTAAGCACCAAAAATTCCTTGTAAATGCAGTAAACTACATTAACATTGACAGTTCCGGACGTCCGTCGTCTCCTGCGACTATGCCACTTTAGAGTGGACCGGAGAGGACAACAGCACAGAGCCGCGAAAACTGCGCGGCTTCAATGTGATCTGCGAGAATACCATTCTGTTTCCAGAGGGCGGAGGCCAGCCCTGCGACTACGGTACCATCAATGGACAACCGGTGCGTAGTGTCGTGCGGAAGGGAAGCACAGCAGTTCACTTTGTGGAGTCGCCGACCAGCTTTGAGGAGGGTGCCGAGGTTCAGCAGCATTTGGATTGGGCCCGACGCCTGGACCACATGCAACAACATTCCGGTCAACATCTGATTACCGCCTTGTTTGATCGAGAGTTCAAGTATGACACCACGTCTTGGTCGCTGGGTAGCAGTGTCTCTCACATACAGCTAAGCACTCCCCATTTGATTAGCCGCGAGTCCCTCGACTTAATTGAGCGACAAGCCAATGATCTAATTCGCGAGGGTCGCCCTGTCAGCGTGTTGCTCGTAGATCCAGAAGTTGCGCAAGAATTTCAGGATGCACGCGCACCTCGTGGACTGCCCAAAGATCACGAGGGACTTGCACGTGTTGTGCGCATCGAGGGCATAGAATCGAACATGTGCTGCGGCACACACGTTTCCAATCTGTCGCAGCTGCAGTGCATCAAGCTGCTCTACGCCGAGAAAGTCAAGACAAATGTTTTGGTTTACTTCGTTGTAGGCGAACGAGCATTGAGGAAGCTTGGAGAGGTCTTCGCACGTGAGCAACAGCTCACAGTGGCGCTTAAGTAAGAAGCCCCTCCGCAAGATAAACTATTTTTAATGAATCCAAATGTTTTAGGGGCGGCCCACAACAGCATCTGGAGCTTGTGCAAAAGCTGCATCAAAATATAAAATCCACACGAAAAGCGTTTCAACAGCTGCTTAAGGATTTCGCCAATGCAGAAGCTGAGCGCCTGGAGAATCTGCCCAAAGCTGCCCGACCCAAATATTTTTCGCTGCATCGACGTGATGGCATCGAAGTAGACTTTATCAACACATTCTTGCGGAACGCCCCCGAGGAAATATTCTACTTCCTCACCGTCTCTGAGGGCGTGTCCAGTGGCAGCTCAGCCAAAGGGCATATGGTACTGCGCGGGCAGCCGTCGCTGGTGGAGCAGTTCGGGCCACAATTTATGGACCTGCTTGAAGGCAAGGGCAATGGCAAGGAGAACAACTACCAGGGCAAGATCACAAATCTAGCCAAGCTTCAGGATTGCAACGCTCTGCTGGAGGCTCACTTCAAGCCAAAGAAAACGAACCCAGATCTGGCAGCCGCTTCTTGAAATGGCATGAGTTTTAACATTACAAATGATATTTTGTACTATTTAGCGGTTTTGTTCTTTAAAAAATGTACATTTTATGATATTAAACATAACTAAACAGGTAACAGGCATGATCACTAAATGGAGCATTCAGGGGGAATAGCATCACAAATAATTGATGTCGTAGTTACGCATCTTCCACTTGAGGCGCCAGAACTCATTCCAGAATCCCACGTCGATGATGCGCTCGTAGAAATTTGTATAGCCCACTGTCGTGTATTCGCAGATTGCCGGGTAGGTGCAATCGTCCTCATCGTACAAGTCGACCCACATCAGTGTGAAGAAGCCGAGCGAGAGTAAGCGCAGCTTTTTCTGGTTGATGGCACGCTCCAGCATAATCAGATATGCAGCTGACTCTGGATTCTGCTGGGCCGGTGGAAGTGTTATCATGCGGTTTGTGTAGTTGCGCATCAACGTCAAGAAGGTGAGGTCGTCTGGATTGTGTTTGGCCATCTGGTAGAGGGCGACAATGCCTGTGCCGTAGGCAAGCGATTTCTTGGGCTTCGCATAAGACTCCTTGATAACACCAAGACCCACTTCGGAGTAGTCACGCAGAAGTCCTTTCCAGTAGTTCGCCCACTTCTCAACGACAGTGCCCTTGAAGCGGGCCGGTAAAGTAAATTTTTCGTCTAAACGCGCACGCAACGCCGTCATACGACTGCCCACCTTAAGCAAACGCATTTTATGGCACTGTAATAAATAATTTAATTCAGGTTTATGCAACAGAAAATAAAAATCCAAAATTGTTACGTTCTGTTCCGAGGTTTAGATTATTTATCGAAAGTAATGTACGTTCTGTATGTAGTATGATATTTTTCTAATGTTTTTCTGCTATCGATAACTATCGATATGCTTGCCATGGCAGCAAGATAAATAAATACGTTTTAATAGTGATTAATGTTAACACATTAGTGACATTAGTGGTTATTGCTTCAAAACCTATAGAGTTTATTTTTAAGAAATTTAATTCAAAGAATGAGTTTACTTGCAATTCAATATTTTATGACCATTCTTAAACTGTAATGTTAGATTTTCCGTTAGAAACTTCCATAAACTTTTGTTTCGTAAACTTTTGAAATTCAGCGCAACGATAGGCGAGCTATCGAGTGATCTTGTAAAATTGACTGTTATTAGCCTTTATTTGGTTTTACAAATCGATATATTAATATCGTTGGCAATTACAGAGTTGCTTAGACATCGGTGCTGTCCGCGCGTAGCAATATAATTGCATAAAAAACAAAACAAATGCTAATTTCAGGCTTTTTAATAACTATTGTGTCGAACTCAATCGCGCGTGTAGACGTTGCGTCCACAGTCTGATTCATGCCAACGTCACACCAACCACTCACACAGTTGCAAACTACACAACTCGCCTGCGCTTCGCTGCGCGGTTGGACGACGACGACGACGTCGACCACGACCACCAACAACCACAAATTTTATTTATCAAAACGTCATTTGCGCCGAACACTCGCATTTCATAGTCTCGACAACGGGGTAATTACAGCGCAAGCGAAGACGTTTGTTGTTTCTGTTATTTTGATTTTGCTGTGGCAGCTAGCGAACAAATTGTGCCCCATTGAAAACGCAAGAGAAGCCTTAAATTGCAAATCAAAGTTCCCAATTAAAAGAAGGCTGCAAAAACAAACTTGTTGCTGCTCACTGCTGAGGCTGAGCGTCGGCAGTAGAGAGCATTGTGAAATTCAACTTCACCAAACGCAAACCAAATAGAAAACCACATTCGCCAAACTGGAGAAGTGGAAGAGAACACGCAACTCCACTAAAAAGATGGACAAACGCCAGCGTAGTCCATCGGGCGCTTCATCTACAGCGGCAGCTGGAGCTGCAACTGCAACATCCAATGAAGATAAGCCCACAGTTCTAGAAGGTATATGCCAATTACACTTACATACATACATATGTATATACATATGTATACATTTATTCGAATCACCTACATACACATATGCGTATATATATAAGCTTATACATGTATGCATGTGTATATGTTTATTTTCATATGCATGACACACCAGCCAGCATGTAAACATACATATACAAGCATTCATGGATGTATATATATGTATATATATATAATATACACATATTTAACTAACGGTCACTTCGTCTGGGGATACTTTTATCAACAAAGCTAGAGAGCAAGCAGGCAACCAAACTGAATGGCTTTCAGCTCCTGCCCACAAGCCGAATCTATAAATAAAACTACGCATTAGCTGCTCTTTTATCCTAGCAGGGGGATATGTACACGTACGCCCACACACGTACATACACCCATATACGCACACAACCATGCATGTGCATGTATAAGCGTGTTTATGTGTGACCTGTTGATTGAGCTATTTTTATTTGAGTCCCATTTGCAAACGCGAGTCGACTTTGAGCTTGAGCCTCATCAGAAGTAGCTCACTCATCCGTCTGTCAATGTTAATGTTAATGGTTCTATTGATGA